CACCCAAAGCCACCCCACACTCGGGGGTTGAATGAGGCCTGGGCGGGGAATATTTTGCCCTTTCCGCGTAAATCCCCGGATTTTTTTCCACCTCCTCTTCCTCCTACCACCGTCCTACCGGTGTACCTTCTCTGTCGGTTCAATTCCTCCGTATCTCTCTGTTCATCACGCCGGCTCGCGTATGTCCATCCCTTTGTCTGTCTTTCGTTTTCCTCGTTCCCTCCGACGCTTCGGTTTCGATCCACCGGCGGGATATTTCTTCTCCTCTCTCTTTTCCACTCCGTCCCCGTTCGCCGCTTTCTCTACCGGACGAACGAAAACGTGAGATTATTTACCGCGTCTTTAGGTTACGCGAATTTTTCCAGATCGCGATTAATCTTACCCAAAGCGGCTCGGACTCGGTTACGTGGACGGTGTTTGCGACCGTGTTTCCATTGTTGCTGAATGTTAACATATTTGAGAGCAGGATTCTTTTTAGCGATATTACTGTGTTTAACTAATACCGAAGTAACACTGATTTCTGGAGCAATTATTCATTCGTTCCTCGAGCGAGGATGTTGGTTTTTTTCATTTTACTTTGGTTTCCTGTTTTGACGTGTGTCAGGTGCATTTACTCTGCGTTTCACTTGTATACTCGCCATTGTTTAATTTTATTCCAGACTCCGCAAGGAAATATTAATATTAAATTCCATAGTTGAGTGGTTAGAGACAGTCCCCAGCAGCCAAGGCTCATTGTTGTCAATTTTACAGTGGAGAACGTTCTACGCGATTCCACGCAGTTTATTATGAACAAAATCTGCCATCAAGCGACAGCATCTGTTGCCAGCATGATTATGCGGGAATCCTCTCGTTCAATCAATGTCCAATCATTCGCGCAAACTTTCAAGCACATCTCTACACGATGGAAATGCACGCGAGAACACAATGGTTAACACGCTCGTCGGCACGTGAATTTTGTGTTTCACATGAGCATAGTTATAGCTCGCTAGTTACCGCTATAAATATCATTAATAACAATTATTTGCTGATCAGAGACACGCTCTGCTCTACACTCTGTTAACTAGCTATTTCTATACGATACCATTCTCATCGGTGCGACCATTCCAAAGATAATACGGTAACGACAACCATGGTCACGTTAACCATGGGGGCGTTCTCCAAACCGTGTCGCACCTCATTAAAATCCAATTATTCAAAATGTATCCGAAACGGATTGCAAACTTCCTTCAACAATCCCTTCCGCCGTCATATAATCCTTTCCTCATGACCAGATTAGCGATCAGGCTAAACGAAAGCCTCAGGTAACAGGGAAATACTGGAACCCCGTCGGTTTCTATTAAATTGCGAGAAATGAGGTCGCCTCGTTAATCGGGGCCCATGGGAAGGGCCGGCCGAATATTTCCTTACGATTATCCTTATTTTATCCTTATTACTATTATACTTATTCTAAGACAACGCCTTTCTGTGCAGCGTGCATCGTTAATCTTGTCCTAAGACGCGGATCTACGCAGGCAGCCTAAATGGCGGACGGGTGCGCACGACCTCCGGAACCTGGACTATCCGTGTGCCGTTCGATCCTTCGCACTTCATCCTTTTTACGAAACCTTTCGTCATAATCTCTGTATTATGGGCCAGAGCATTAATCCATAGAACCGGCGACCCAGTGCGCGAGGATTCTCATGGCGATCCTCTTCCAGGATCCTCGCTCCAGTTCATTTCCGTTGTTGCGCGAAACAACCTGTTGTAGGTCTTGAGAATTACCTGGACTGCGGACCCTGTCCCTCGGCACCGTGACAACACGTGTCTCCACCCACTTTTCGAATACGTCGCGTTAACGATATTATCGATCTTTTAAAACATTATGCGAAAGTCCGGCACGTCGACGCGTTATTCGAAAAGCGAATGTCCATTCGACAAAGCGTCGGCCAGTCGTGAACCGTTCGGTTGTAATAAATAGACATTACCTGTAACGCTAGGCGAGATGCAATAAAAGTATTTGCGAAGGCGGATAAAGGATACGAGGGCAATTAACTGAGTAATTGATAGTCAAGCAGGTAATATCAAACTGTAGCTACACTCTATTCAAGGGCGATGCTCGCTGTCGATTTCTCTTACACCATTCGACGCACGATCTTACGGTATCCATGGATATACGTGAATCACGGATCGCAACGTGAAATTATCGTTCGACGGAGTTGGCACAATTAAACCGTGAAATTTCCTATAATTACTGAAAATTCGATTCGACGCGACGGGACGCGCGGCGTTCGCAAATATTAAATTTCCGGGATTTATTTAACGAAACGGCGTATCTTCGGTCAATCACGTAAAGGTGCGGCCGTACAGTGTCACCCTGTCCCACCCCTTTCGGTACAGTGGTGCTTTATAATGCAAATAAACCGTTGGGTGGGAGGGAGCCTCGCAGCTCGTCGCCCGTGACGCTACAAACCAGATTTTTGGGAATATCGCGGCAGCGTATCGTGCAGAGGGGAAAAAATATCTCTTACGGGGATGATTTTGAAAAACAAAATGCCTCGTTGGCGACGAAAAAACAAAAACGACGCCACGGTTTTACATACGTCCGGGCGCGGCGGGGTGAAACGCGTCGGAGGGCGGACGGAACGGCCGATGATATTAAAAACAATGTTCTAATAACGGTCACGTCGAATAATAAGCGACGGCGAACATAGTTCCGACCGTAGTGTCATAAGTAAACGAAGGACTACTTCGAAAACGCAGGGGGTCACCTTTCAAAAGGGTAATCTGGCGACTGATCGACGTGGACGTCAAAGTGTCACGGCCTCCTTGCGAGGAACGATCCGCAGGAAATCAGTTTTGATCCCTTGAGCCAGATATTAGCAAACAGTTAATACTTTGCAGATGTTGACTCGAGCACCGGGTATTAACGCTTCCGAAAAACGTTGCTCGTCCGCATAATTGGGAATCCCGATTCCCCCGGTGTCGACGGTCTTGACGTTAGTAAGATTATCCGTCCGATTCCCGGCCATTAGTCGAATCATTTGCCCGCGTTGAAAATGGCGGAGACCCCGGCCGAAATCGACTCGAAATTCATATGGACGTTTTATTATTCGCCCGTTTCTCGCGTGTGTGCTCGCGTGGATCATTGAAAAATAGTTGAACATTGAAAACCCGGCGTATCGATGAGGCCGGTAAAAACACGAAAAAGTTTTTAATAAATACAACGAGTTAATTCGACGCGCTGAATCGTGAAAGAGTTTCGCTTCTCGACCGGCGGAACGTGAATTTCGTCGTTTAAATCGCGCGATGCGTTACACGAGGAGTTCGTGAACCCGTTAACGTCTGCTACATAATGAATTGCTAGTACGCTTAATTCCCGGGGCGAAGTAAGGACGTTAAATTTCCAGGAAACTAATTAACGTTTATCCGCACGTGCGGCGCACTCTTCAAAATCGGATATTGCGGGCGTAAGCTATTCGTCGAAAGGTTCTGAGGACACCTTAGACCGTCGCGCCGCGGTGTTGAATTAATCTAAGCAAATTATCCAAAAAAAGTAATACTACAAACAACCATGGTTCTCCTTTTACGTCGGAAATGAACGTTTACCATTATACCATGAAAATTCCTCGAAATTAAAGCACGCTCCGCGATGAAACGATGTCTCATACGCTCTAATTGAATTTCCTTCGCTTAATACCGACTACACGGTGTACATTAATTTTCTGTTTGGAACCCCGGATGAAATTAACCACATACGATGTACAAATCGAAGAGCCGATTCGACGAGTGTTGCAATAACTATCCACAATCGAACACCCGGTCGCCTCGGCTAACGAAAGGAATGTTTCGCAAACTTTTCGTCTCGCTTCTTTTTGCCTGACGGGATCGTTTTCGTTCCTCCGCGAACAGACAGGATAAAAACGCGGAAGGTATACCTTTTGCGATCGGCGAGCGCGAGGGTGCGGAGGAAAGGGGCCGCGGGGTCCTGATAACTCGTGGGTGTAATTGTTATATCATGAATCCGAGGGGGCCGGGGCAGGGGCGGATAAAGAAGGAGCCGCGCAAAGAGGAGAGACGGGAGCAGGAAAGTGAGGAGAAAGGCATGCGAGGCGACGTTCTACAATAGGCAACATTAAATCTGCAAAAGAGAGGAGATTCTCTCCCGCGCAGAATTGAGAGAAGGGGGACGGAATCGGGCGTAAAGGAAGCAGATACAATTCACAATAGACCCGGCGAACCGGCTCGAAGATCAAACGCCACCCCTAGCAAGAGCTACCGACGCCCATAACTGGCGTAAGACTTCGCGAGTGTCAAAAGTTCGGTCATATCCGATCCGCAACCGGACGACATAAGTGTCTCGTAATAATCGCGTCCGAACTATCAAGAATTCATTCGGTCGCAGCCGCGGCAGTCGCTTCGGTGCACATTCGTGCTCGATCAGTGATGTATTGACATTCGATTGTTACGTAATTGTTGCGTTACATAATATATGGA